CAGATTCTTCGGCCGAGGAAATGTAAACTCTTCCACAAACCACACCGTGCAAAAGACCTTGGCGGAGAGACGTCTGTCGGCTGAGACACGGGGCTCTGCCCCACCTGGAAGGCGGTGCCGCCCCCTCCCGCACAAGGACCCTCGAGCAAGATGGCTTTGCAGGGAAGGGAGCACAGGACACGGTTATTGCTTGTAAAAAACCAGAGAGAGAGAGAGAGGTGCAGGGAAAGGTGGAAGGAGCTGTTAATTTCTGCTACAACCAGCTCGTAGGTCGTGAGGTATGTCAGGCCTCCGCTAGGCTTGGGGGCTTTTTCCTTTATTATTATTATTATCGTCAAGAAAGAGCCCCTGAAAACTTTAACTTCCTGGCTGTGCAAGAGATATGCCGACTTTGGCAGACCTGCTTGGAAACGAGGGAGAGATTCGGTGGGCTCCCCCCTTCCCCACCCCTGGCCCTAGCCGGAAGGGGACCGAAGGCCCTTCTGCTCCAACGGACGCCCTGCGCTCTTCAGACCCTCAGAAACGGAAGGTCACCTCTTGGGACGGGCTCCCCCACCTTTCGGGGCCCCCGCTGGAAATGCATGGATGGATACGGCCAAGCTTCCCCCAGTCCTCGGTGGGCTCCATCTTCTGGCTAGCGAGACAAGGATGTCCACTGGGAAAGTCTTCGGCCCTGGACCTTCAACACTCAAGGGTACCTCCAGGTGGGACTTCCTAGAACACAGCGGAAGGCTGTCAGAGCAGGCATGCCGGGCGGCATTCCTCGATCTAGCTCCACACCCTCATGCCCCTAGAGTGCCCTACATCCTGGCTGGCTGCAGGTCCTGCACTGGCACCCCCAGCCCTGGGGCGAGAGAGAGATGGTTATCACAGGGCTTCCCTGCGCCACTATTCAGGGCTGTGATCAGGGGGAGCACTGGCCACCACCACACACTCTAGACTCTCTCTTGTTTTTTTCAAGGGTGTGAAAAACATGTCCTCCAGCCCCCCAGCGATCTTGTCCATGAGTTCAGTGCCCAGATCGCCCAGCCCTGGGCACTGACCACCTTCAAGGCAGCCACTGCTGTACGGGTCAGGCCCCACTTTGGCCTCCTCTGGTGGTTCCTCCTCAATCACCTGGATCTTGTCCCCAGTTTCTGCAGCGGGCAAGGCCGCTTCCTCATCCCCGGCGCTGACAATGCGGGGCAGGGTGCTGTGGTAGCGCCCTTCCAAGGGGTAGTTGACGCTGTCGCCCCGGCGCAGGGGGGTCCGGTGCCTCTCCAGGGCTGTGGGGTAGCGGACGCCGGGATCGCTGTACTGTTTGGTTCGTTGCCACTGCTTCCGCAAATGGGTTCGGGACCGGTGCTTTGCCCGCAGGGGCGATTCGTCAAATTGAGGGTCGTGGCGGACAAAGGCGTTGAAGAGCGCATCTGTTTTTTCATCAATGCTGTAGTCCCGGCGAGGGAAAGATTCCCGAGCGGGGAACATCTGCCCGTACGGAGCCCAGAGCAAGGGACTGGAGGGGGGCAGTCCACCAACAGCCCCTGCTGCTTCCTCGTCCTCCTCGTCCTCCTCCTCGTCCTCCTCCTCGTCCTCCTCCTCCTCTTCTGGCTCCTGTCCCTCAAAGCTCTCAAAGATGGTGGCTTTGCGTCCAGCGCTGGTGAAGCAGAAGCGTTTCTCCGAGGCTGTCTGGTCCTCTCCTACCCGTCCGCTGGGGGCCTCGATGGAGGCATAGCCACTATCCATCTGCAAGAGTTTACGTGTCCCAGCTTCCAACTCAACGCTATCCTGCTTGGGTTTCCCCCAGGGCCTCTCATCTCCTCCTTCAGCCTCATCGGCCAGGGAAGAGGAGAAACTGGGCAGCCCACCGCTCGAGGAGACGCTGTCCCCGCCATCGCTGGGCGCTGAGTCCCGGTCATTGCCCTGCTCTGATGAAGCACACTTTTCTAGGGATGCTCTTAGGCTCCAGATGTCGTGATAAAGGGGGGTGGGCTGCTGTTCCGATGGAAGAGGCTCAGGTGGGGTGGGGCTGGGTGGTTCGGAAGACTCTAACCTACAGCAGAAAACACATAGACTTTGCCTTTAGAAATGACACAGTGCTTCTTTCTCGGCAGGCAGAACATGGAACAATGACCAGAGAGGGCAAGCAGATTCTCAGTGCACCCTGTAACTCAATGACCACACACTGCTGAGACTAAAATGGAAGCGATCCCAGGAACTGCTGTAGAATTGCTATAGCCCTGAAACTCACACCGAGCCCAGGGCATCCATCCATGAACTCTGAAACGATCAACCGACCCATACTGGAGTTCTGCTCCTAGAAATCTACGCCTACAGCAATGCTGACTGGAAAGATGTCCAGCCCTCCGGAGTGATTCCGGTTCTTAGAGTTTGCATGTCTTTTTCAGGCCAGGGCCTACGCTTGGTCTTCAAGGGGTGACCTCCAGGACCAGAGACCTCCACAGGGGAAGTCAAAAAAGGCAAGATGGTGGTTGCAACCATGCCATCAAAGCACCGCCCACCCCACTCCATTTTCCTCACCTCTCACACACAGCAAATACTTGTTCAGGTTGCTGACAGTCATGAACATGGCAGCCAAGCTGGATGCTGATCAGAAGGGACTGGGCAGATTCATGGATGATGAGACTCTCCGTGGCTACTAATATTGATGGCTGGTGGCTACCAGCTACCTCCTGAATTTGAGGCAGCAAAGGTGGCTGCAAAGATACACTGGAAGAGTCCAAATTGATGAGCTTCGCAAAAGCATTCAGTACACCACTGGGTGACCCAGAAGGCTGGATGTTAAGCAGATGGCCTGATCCAGCCTCTTCTTCCATTCTGATGTTCTTCTGGGAGACCAGCTGTCGTCTTGAGACAGACGATTCAGCCTCCATTTTGAGAGAAGGAGTGGGGTGGGAAGCAGATAATTGCTTCCAAATCTATTTTTAAATTCCTTTTTTTTTAAAGTGTACATTAGCAAGGAAGAGATAAAGCATCTGGTCACCACGTTCATACATTATTCAGGTTCTTATCCAATAAACAACCTAGCATTCAAATCATAGCTCCCAAGGTGTAGGAGTGCAGCTCAGGGGAAGAAAAGCTGCTGTCCGTAGCCAGTTTGATCCCAGCATTTTCAGTTATTTAAAAAAATAAAAATAAGGAGGAATGATGGGAAAGATTATTTGATGAAGATTTTAGAGAGCTGCTGCTGAACAGAGTCTGGTTTAAAATAGCTTCCCATTTAAGTCCATCTATTATTTAGAACAATGAGGACTGGAATATTGTTTGATCTTTAGAGGAAGGACCTCAGCAAACCCAACATACACAGTGAAGGAAGAAGACAGATTTCCTGCCATCAACTCTTAAAAAGGTAGTCCCTATTAGGCAGAGCTGCAGGCAGCCATTTTGTGAGGACCCTCACAACATCCTCTCAACACCCCAACATGCAACAGTCCAAGGCAGATGGCCAAGAACTCCAACCTTCTGCTTTTATTTATTTCTGCTTTTATTTATTTATTGGAAAATTCCCAAGTTTTGAACTAAATAGCACAGACAGGTTGCGTGGTCCTCCTCTGAAAGAGGTAACGTCTGTTCTGATTTGGTTTTTCCACTCCAGAGCTGCCACTGGCTTCTCAATCCTGCTCCTGTTCCACATGCACTTCATCCCACCCCCCATTCCCACTTATCTACTGAAAAATACCTGCCGAGAGATAATGTTGGACTGGCCGGAGCAGGCAGGAACGGTCCAGCCACGGGCCGGAAAACCACATCATCCGTCCGGGCAATGTACTGGATGATGTCTGTCTGGTGAGGGTCCCGATCCTGGTCCATGCTTTCGCTCGCGGCCCGTTGTCGCTGGAACTGGTGACGCTTGGGAGACCCTGGTTGGAGGGAAGGAAAAGATGGGAGCTGAAGCACAGGCAGGGGTCATGTTTCCTGAGACCCATTTTGGTGTTTTTGGAAAAAAGAGGTTGCAAATTCTGTCCCTTCCCTACAAGAACACCTGTACACAGATCCAGAGCTTTTATTCCTTCAACTCAAGCACTGAAATCACTCAATCCATTCATTCCTGCAGCAGAGGTATTCTTCCAAGTGCTTCTGGTCCATGATTTCAATTCAGGAACCAGCAATTTTTTGGGATGTCGACGACGACAACAATTATTATTATTGTTTTCCAATATTGTATTATTATTATCCATGGCTGTGGATATGATCGGAAATAAGCAACAACATCACACAATTGAGAAGAGGGAGGATCTTTCTTCTGCTTTGTAGGGAAGTGTTTCCCCACCCTGAAGTCCTCCTGGGCTGCTTCGTAGTTGGAGGGATGAGGGGTTGTTCTGGCTCTCTGGAGAAGTCCATAATGCTGGGAAAGGTGGAAGGGAAGAGAAGAAGAGGACGACCAGCAGCAAGGGGGACGGAGTCAGTTACAGCAAGACCTGAAGGGCCAAGTTGGGACAGATCATCCTGGAGAAGGTCTATCTATGTGGCCTCCAAGAATCACAACCAACCTGATGACACATAATCAATCAATCAATCAATATGAATATCTCACTCTGTTGAGAAGTCTATGATTAGAAAGGTGGAAGGAAACAGAAGAGGACGACCAGCAGCAAGGGGGATGGACTCAGTTACAGTGGTAGTGAGTACACTGTTGGAAGGCCTGAAGGACCAGGTTGGGGACAGATCCTCCTGGAGAAAATCTATCTATGTGGTTGCTAAAAGATGACACCAACTTGATGGCACATAATCAGTCAATCAATCAATCGATCAATCAAGGAAATGTTTGGAAGGGTTCATTTTTCAAAACTGAGTAACAGTTCCCCGCAACAGCCTTCCTGTGTTTTCCATCTCAAAACATTGAGAAACTGGGCTACTGAAGGGGGAACAGCTACAGGTTCATTGACTGGCCATCCCTAATCAAGTAGTTAGCAAGTTAGTTAACTTCCACCCAGAGTTCTTGAGAGTTGGGCAGCATACAAGTTTAATAAAGTATTATTATTACTATTACTATTACTATTACTATTACTATTATTATTATATGGCCCTCTCTGTCAGACTCCATTGAAAATGAGGCCCAACTCAGTGTACACAAGACTGGGTTCCCACCATGCTGACAAAAAATAGTTGCTGTTAAATCCAAGCAGATCATATTATGGCTTCCCTGGACAACTTACTAAATCAAAAGCTGGAGTCCCATAACATGATGAGATGCAACACAGGACCAGCCCTATCGTTAGGCAAATGAGGCAGTTGCCTCAGGCAGCAGGTCCCTGGAGGCCACCCCTTTGGGCTATTCCCACCATGGACACCCTTGTCACCCCATATCGATACTCTGCCCAGCCACCTTCCAGTGAGACAGAATGGACCTCAACTGTCAGGGTCAAGTGACGCAGAAGTGGCGGTGAGCCCATTTCCTCCTCTTGGGGAAAGTTCAATTAGATACTACGGGATCTTCTTTTAGATAGTGCACCCAGCGTAAGAACAACTGTGCTAAGTTCAGACTGGCAACATTTGGTTTTAACAGTTATCTTTTTATTGTTATTTTATAGCAGCTGGGGAGCATTGTTCTTTTGAACCACCACTCTGAACTCCTTCAAGAGGAACGGCATTATTAATGTCGTCATTATTGTCCATCTTTGCTCGCAAAACAGCTTGCGCTGGCTCCTTGGTTTACCTGCCCAAATAGTTTGCAGGAGATCAAGAGAGAAGAATAAATTGGTGGCCAAAACTAGATATGGAGGAAACCAAGAGGCAGAGTTTGGAAAAGGAAAAATCAGAAGTTTTCAGAAAGGTCATAGGTGGCTCAGAAATTATGGATCTGATTCAACCCCACCACTGTCATTCAAGGACCAAAGAACCAGTGATGGGAAAGGCCTTTTTCTGATGGAGACCCTAAGGCCGCTGCTCTCAGAGGGTTCAAAACAAGATCAGAAGGATAAAGAATCTGAGCTCTGGTACGGCAGGTTTCCAACTTAAAGCAAGTAGGAGTCCCAAGCTGAACGTGCCTGATCTCAAAAAGTTAAGCAGGATCACACCTAGGACAGGAGGCTGCCAAGAAATCTTAGCACGACAGGTTAGAACAGGGTCCATGCAGCCAGTGTTACTGAAGTGATTGTGTTGTTCTCACCTGCCACTACAAGTAGGCCTCGTTTAACATGCACTCATTCAGTGACCGTTCAAAGTTATGATAGTGCTGAATGAGGGATACTTATGACAGGTCCTCGTAAATGTGGCCATTGCAGCATCCTGTGGTCACATGATCTCCATTTGTGACCCTCACTGCCCGTTTCTGACAAGCAAAGTCAATGGGGAAGCTGGCAGAAGGTCGCAAATGGAGATCACGTGACCGTGGAATGCTGCGACCATGTGAGATTTATTTAATGACGGCAATTGGGACTGCCGGAACTGCTGTTGTAAGTTGGCGCGGTCGTGTGACGTCGTGCCTTACAACTGTGTTGCTTAGCCCCAGAGTTCCCAGTCCCAATTACCATTGGTAAGCAAGGACTACCTGTATTTGTACATCATCATTATTTTTACTGGTTTTGGCAGTTTTCGCTATTGTTTTTTAATTGTATGTTTAATTTTATGATATGAGTTGTTGTTGCGAGAGGAGTGGCCAGATACAATGAAATACAGTGGTGATGAGTACATCATTGGAAGATCTAAAAAACCAGGTTAGGGACAGATTGTCATGGAGAAAATCTGTCTACGTGGTTGCTAAGAATTGACAACAACTTGGTGACAGAATCATCCGCATCATCATTTTGTTACTAAAAAACCCCAACCAGGGTGGTTTCACATGAAGTCAAGCTCAACTTGAAGGAGATTTTCCTTTACTCCAAACTCATTAGATGTTGAGAATATGGCTTGCAGAACAGCCAGCCATCCTGTCTCTCCAGGCGTAGAGAAAGATGACTTAGGACAGTGTTTCTCAACCTTGGGAACTTGAAGTTGTACAAGAGCTGGGATGCAGATCACTCTGGCACAAGTTGGCGGGGGGGAGGCTTGTGCCTTGCTGGCAGAAGGTTTAGCACAGTGTTTCTCAACCTTGGGAACATGGTTGTACAAGAGCTGGGATGCAGATCACTCTGGCACAAGTTGGCGGGGGGGAGGCTTGTGCCTTGCTGGCAGAAGGTTTAGCACAGTGTTTCTCCACCT